ATAGTGCCAGGAAAACATACTCATTTTCCTGGCACTATAGTGCCCTAAGGTTGCCCCCACCCTCAGGGACTGTTCTGTATCTGTAGCTGGGAGGAAGTGACAAGTCCTCACTTCCTCCCAGGCTGCTGATATTACATGGGCACCCGTTCATCAATGCCAAACAGGTGGTCATACTTGCATGGGACACCAGATGGGCCCCTCAAGCCTGCAGGCTCTGGTGCAGTCGCACTGGCTTCACCAGTGGTAGTTCTGCTGCTGATCTTATCTGCTTTAGACTTCATTTTATAATTCAGTTTTCAATTTACTGCAATTTGGATTTTAGTGAATTCCTCTGTATGTTTTTTGTTTTTATGGCTGTGGAACTCAGTAAAGCAACATTAATTGTAACGACAAATGTCTTACCCCAAACCTTAAATATAAGGATTTATGCTGTGTATCATTGTGTGTGAATGCAGGGGTATATTTTTACAGGGTGAAAGTTTGTGACTGCAGAGGTGTGTTATACCCTACATAAAAACTTGCATGCATTTAGTTATGCATTTTTTTCATTTGGATATATCTAAAAAGTGCTTGTAAAATTTACAGATTTCTTTTCTGCTGCCTTTGCAAACTCTCCCATTCTAAGCCTTACTGTGGCTGTCCATTTGACAGACTTACCAATGCAGCTCAACCAGAATATTTGCAAGGAAGGAGCTCTGGACAATCGCTGCATCTTGAGTTTAGCTCTGCTGAGCGAACCAAAACATGAAGTCACAGACCTGTAGTCTGCTTGAAAGCCAAGGTGATGTAACCAGCTTATTTTCTATTTCTATTGAAATATGCTCATTTATGTAAAATGAATAGAATACACTCTTCACGTATTAAGGTTTTAAGAAAGATAAAACGCTTTAGGGTCTGGAGTGTCCCTTTAAGGTTGCCCATGTCCCTAGTCAGGATACCAGATTGGAACCTGCTCCAAGAGACCTGAACTCTGTTTTGGGAGTGTTGAGTGTGTGTGGTGGCTAAGTGTTATATGTGTGTGGAGTGAGACTGAGTGTTGT